TTAAAAGATAACTATTGATATTCTTTTTTCAATCATTATTATAAGTAACCCAAAGGTGTTTTAATAATCTTTAATAGTATAGAAGAAATAATTCGAGTCCGAGACTTCAATATCATTTCACACTTTCTGTATGAAATTATTATCCGTTTGTTTGACTGTTTGCTTAGAACATTTAGGTAAATATGATCACTCAGTCTTGGATCCATCATAACATGAATTTCTGAAAGAAATGTGACCCACAACTATTCTAGTAAGTGATATGAAATTTTCGGTAATATAGTACGTATAAGTTATAGATATGATAGCCCAATACCGACCTTTGGGGATTCCGGCTAAAACACAGCTAAGAGGTGAAGACTAAACGTTTTTTTCGTTTTGTGTGTGTGTCGATGTATTGCTGTCTTGTAAAAAAACGTTTACCACAAACATAACTCTATTGATGAATTTCTTCGAAACTAGCTGTGGTCATTTTACCATTATTCAAATAAGAAGATGTGGTATAAGTGCCAATGAGACAACTCTCCATCCAAGTCACATACCGTTATTTTCAATAACATTTTAACTTGCATGTAATAAGTAATGAAGCTAAACTTCGTAAAACATTTTGAAAAAATGAAAATATTCTGTGAGTTTTGCAGTATTGACCTTCGTAAGAGTGTTGTTGGCTTTGGGCTGGCTTCCAGTGACTGTGAGTGCTCTATAGTCGGTAACTTGTGTCTTAGATTTTTGTATTATTATCATTTTTTGTGTGCTTTCTGTCAGTTTGGTGGGTCGGGCCATTTTTGAATGAGTTGCACAGTTTATTCTTATGCTGTGTTGTTAAACTACTGTTCCAGGTTAGGGAAGGGTTAGGTGCCCGCAAACAAGTTGAACTCCGTCGCATTCTGTATTTGCCTTTGGTTCAGTGGTTGTCGTTTGTTGCTAAGTATCATATTTATTTTTCGTTTAATGTTCAGGTCGTTAGTTTTCTCGTTTGAATTGTCTGGACCTTTTATAGTGGTTTCGTTCATTGTTAAAGGTCGTACGGTGATCTATAGTTGCTAACTTCTCCGTCATTTGATCTCTGGCAGAGATTTGTCTCATTGGCAATTATATATAAATAAGAAGATGTGGTATGAGTGCCAATGAGACAACTCTCCATCCAAGTCACAATGTATAAAAAGTTAACAATTATAGGTCAAAGTACGGCCTTCAACACGGAGCCTTGGAGCACACCGAACAGCAAGCTATAAAGGGCCCAACAATGACTAGTGTAAAACAATTCAAACAGGAAAACCAAAGGTCTAATCTATATAAAAAACGAGAAACGAGAAACACTTCTGAACCACACTAACAAACGACAACTACTGAACAACAGGCTGCAAAACAATGCAGCAGGTTTTAACAGACGCCAACCTTCACCCTAACCTGCGACAGTAGTGTAACATTACAACATAAAAAGACACACTATAAAATAGCAATTGAAATGGCTTAACTCGATCAAAAAGACATTTAAACAAAAACAAGTAAACACGGTAGTCAATCCAGTCCCTATCATGCAACTTGGAATATCCAGTGGGATTGGTCGTGTTATCACACAGCTAATCGGACATGCATTGTTGTGTATGTACATCCAAAAAAAAGATCAACGATAATATACAGAAAATCTAGAACTTGAATGTGACTTCGTCAGTGAAAAAAAAAAATCTGGAAAACATTTTGTACAAATTCCTTCTTCAGTTAAGTACATGTACTTAAATTCATTTCCGAATTTTCTTGTCGACGTGACTGCAAATAATTATTTTGTCAAGAGAATAATAAAAAAATACATTACATATTCAAAAATTAGTAATGTGTTAATTGCTTGAAGTAAGGCTATAATTTCCCCTAAAAACAGTATTATTTATTTAAGTTAAGATTTTGTTATATCTATTCACAGATCTATGTATGCTCTATTCAAGTCGCAGGACATTTTGTAATTAAGGACACTTATAGAAGATTTTAGTTTTTGAAAATAAACATGATCGAATTTTGTTATCAATAATTGAAGGATCGTACATTAATTTGTGAATCGTTTTCGTGTTTAATGTGACATTAAACAGAAAAACTGAATGGTCTTATGAGCAAAATTTAAAAACTTCAAAGAGAAAATATGCGAAATGCAAAACCGGTCTTTGATAGGGTGAATGATGGTGCCAACGTTCCTTAGATCAGCCCATTTTTCATCATATTTAACGAAACATCATAGTGTTTCATAACGTTTCTTGTAATAAATTCCTTCATCTGATTTCACATAGATCGTTCATTCACAGAACATTTTCATACATATGTAACTTATAAACCTCATATTATGGAATGACTTGATTTACAACTAAATAGAGCTTTGGAAACAACAATGCTTTCAACACAACCAACAACGTACCAACTCCACCTACAGATCTCAGTATGATACTATAAGCACTATTTGATGTAATACTTGCTAGATGTAATGAAATTGTATGTGATATACCCTAATCATTCGGGACTAGGGAACTCAGTAATAATTCTGTAGACACATTAGGAGCAGTGGGTGCATTTCTCTTAGTTTTCAACTGATACCATTGACCTTTATTACTAACTTGTAATACTTGTATTATATAGAAGAGTGGCAGATTTTATTGTGAAATACATATTTTTACTTACCAATTCTTGCACATTTTGTTTCGAGAAAGGATACTAAATTTGTTATAATAACCTCAGCTTGAATATGATTTAGAATTTTATACAATAGAGGCATACAAGTTACTTTTAAACAGGTTAATTACGTTTATCATTTTTTTCCTTATTTTGTCGATGTTTTTTTTTTAAATTATATTCATTTTTTTTTTATTTTTATTTACCAAACATTCTAGAATTAGAATAAAAAATGAAATAATTAGATTGAATGATGTATTTACTAATAACGAACAGGAATGATAATGATACATTATTATTATTATTATTATTATTATTATTATTATTATCTAATAGAGACATTGACACTGAAGAAGGCTATTTGTTGAGCCGAAATAATTGTCGATATTTTATGACATCAGTACGTATATTACAATTAAATATAATAATATTAATATTTAATTAATTGAACATAGTGTCAAAACTCCACGAAACAACAGAGAATAGTGGGAATGAATTAAACTAATAAGTACTACGTTTCAATATCTTATTTTATATAATTTTATTTGTATTTTATGTTGGGTTTTTTTAATATTTCAAAATATTTTTTTTTTCTTTATAACTATTTTTTTTTAATTTTGTTTTGCATGATCAAGTCAGAGAATATTTGTTTATATTGCTGACACTTAATATTTATATATTAAAATGTGATTCATAAACCACGGGCGTTTGTGGAATGAACCCTTTTCTACTTTTGTGCTCTATTTTTTAAAGTAAACATTCTGTAATATTTTCACTTATTTAAGTTGGTCTTGCTCGTTTCCATACTATATTACTATAAAAGTAGCTTATAAATTTGGACCATGAAAAAATTAAACCAAACAAACATAAAAAACAGAAAACGGGGGTCCACTTCCTAAGGACCGGTATCATAAACGACAAAATGACACCTTCCTATGAATTAAAAAGTGTAAAGATTTATGTTATGTTTTGTACTATTTAGTCCTGTTAAGTTACTTTATTTACTTTATTTTTTTCCAATTCCACCTTTTTCATGTAATTTCTTGTCGTTCTTGTGTAAAAACATGTTGTACAATTATTTTGGGTAACAAGATCGTTATTTATAACAAATTTGACAAGTTTATTTAGGTTCTTTTATATTTAGAACTAGTAATGTTAATTACCAAGTAAATGATATGCAGGTTTTAACATAACAATTATATAACAGAATACGTAAAATGCATTGTAAGTAATATTTTGGAAAAAGTCATTTTATTTCTATACAGCGAAACTGATGACATAATTTGTCTGAATAAAGATCGTGTTACCGTATGTGTACAATATTTTTACACAAGGACAAGAAAATACTTGAAAATGGTGGAATTGGAAAAAAAATACAAAAGTAACTAACCAGGATAAATACTAGTAGTACAAAAAATTTCCTAAATCTTTACCTTATTTGCATCATAGGAAGGTGTTATTTCGTCGTTTAGGAAACAATTTTTTTGTATATAACTATCAAGTGTCAGCAATATGAACAAAATATACTCTGACATGATCATTGAAAATAAAAAAAATAATAGATAAAGAGAAAAGAAAACAATCAAAATTATATGAAATAAGCTATTGAAAAGGTTTTATTTATTATTTATTCATAGTTTAATTTATTCCAACTATTTTCTGTTGTTCTATGGAGTTTTCCCACTATTTACAATTCATTATATTTTATGATAAATATTGTTTTATTGATAATAGACATTTTCCACAGAACTTTGGAAAGATGAAAATAGACTCAGGATCCATATTTCAGAGATTCGTCACTCTAAAGCATACACATTCTAAATAGATCTTTTAGAATTTCTTTTGTTTCTTCATAGCTTAAAATTTGCAAGCAAGCACCAGAAACTGTGACAATAAAATTTGTGCCAGGCGGAAAATAAAACAATGGGATTTACATCCTGCACAATTGTGTTATTCAAGGACATCCAAACAAACTTCCGCATTGTGCATCATTACAACAGGAAAAAGACACTTTTAAGTAAAGAACACGGAAATTTTATATTCCATCCTGAAATAAATCAATGTTTTTCTGTCGTATAAGATTTTTTGTGTATTTTAAATCTCGTACAGAACGTCACAATTATAATGATACATTATTGATTATGATACAAATCATTTAATGTTATAAAAGTTTATAACCCATAGAAATTAATACTTTAACCATAAATCGTCATAAACATGCATTATGAAGTATTCGCCACTGGACATAAAACATCAAAAATCAATCACGTATAAGACTTCTTTAAATTATTTCTAATCGATAAAATTGTTCATAAAAAGTCAGGCAATAAATTAACAAAAATAAAAAATAAAATAATAATAATTTTTTTTACTTCCTTCGATTTTTTGTCATAATTTTAATCTAAAAAAAAAAAGACATTCAAGAAATTAGAAAGGAATGATACATCCTAGCAAGGATTTGTATAGTGAGAATCCTTGATCCTAGATAATTAGAATGTAATTGACATTTCACTCCTAGAAAGCAACGTTGTTTCCTTAATCAATCTTTATGTAGATGCGTTGTCTGGAGGTCAAGTAAAGCGAATGTTGTACAAATGATCTTCTAAATTCGGTGTTTCATGAAAATTTATTACCTGATGTAGCGCTCATACAAATACAGGATTTCAAGGGGCATTCCGCTTCTTATCCTCGGTAATGTCCAATTGAAATCCCGCGTCCATATAAACATCTTTCATCTACTGTCCTGTACAAAATGACACCCAACCTGTTCCATTGATCGATTCTCCGAAGTGTAATAATACTTCCCGGTTAATCAATTCGGAGAATTACCTATTTTAACGTTTAAATTTCCTTTGTTTTGTGTACATATTAATAGATTTTCAATTTTCCGGTCATTTCTAGAAAATCGGTATGAACTACATATTAAGTCGAGAAGTATTCAAACTGATATGACAAAAAAAAACTACATAGTGGTTAGATGAAACAATTCCAACACTGCGAGTTTCAATGTCATATTAAAAAATTGTTTAAACGATCCTCACCGTTGCTGTTAAAACGGATGTAATTCTTGACTAGTATACTATATTTGCACTAGATTTCATTCATGGTAAAAATAGTCTGGTTATCCCCATTCATCCTCCTACTGTGTTATACCTGATTGGTCGATCAACTTTGTCCAATGCAGAAAGTTTATCTGAAATAGATAAGTTTTTTAACAAATTCAAAAACTTGTTTTAAAGAGGAGGCTAGAGAGTGAGAATCAGATTTTTCCCAGAGTGAAATATGCATTCATAGTAACACCCTTCTCAACAATTCAATAAGGTTCTAAAAAGTATAAAATCCAATACAAAAAAGTACAACAAAAACACCGTACTCCAAGGTAAATTAAAAAAGGGGAAGTCCATAAAAATGGACAAGATCAAACGGAACGAGTGGAAAACAGCCGACATATTCCTGACTTGGTACAGACATTTTCTGAAGAATATGGTCAGTTAAAGCTGGTTCTGTAGCTAGCTAGCCCCTCCCCCCAACTTGTATGACAGTTGTTTATAATTCCGTTATATAGACAAAATTGGGTGAGCAACCCAAACAGACATATTGGGATCCAGATGCCAAAACTGTGTAAACATACACCACAGACATACAACACAAACTAATAAAAAATTCAAACAAACATACAAATAAATCTAACAAAGACGCCATTAAAAAAGTTGTTGTAGTTGATAGTAAGCTCGACAAGAGGCCAAAAGTTTTGTAGTTGATATTAAATTGACAAAGACGCCGATTAAAGTTTTTGAAGTTGATAATACATACTGCATATAGTATAAACACTTTATTGATAAAGTATAAATCAAGTAAAATATAAATACAAGGATAAACATAATGGAAACAACACTGTAACAAACTCTTGCGTCCGAATCGCACCTCAGGACCCACCTGCACCAGGAACGCCCAAAATCAAAAACCCGATAGCGGGATGCATAAATACCGAGTCACTTAAACGTGTACAACAAAAAGAAACATAACAGTACGAAGACAAATAAAGGGAAAACTGTAAATTAAATAAAAAATACACAACTTCTGCACATAGAATCTATAACTGAAGATCATATTGTTTTATTTGCGAAGAAGACACTGAATAGTTATTTATTAGGCCTTGGTACTTTTGAGAATAAGTTTTAAGTCCATGTGTAACCATAAACTCCTTAAAAACAATCTAGCATTGCAAGTTTCAGATAGTCTCTTATATAAAATCTTATACTGATCACGAGAGCATAATGCTGAATCAAGGGCGGATTCATGATGTCCTCCTTCCCATATCTAAAATTGACTACGATTGGCGAACATTATTTTAACAGCGCTCCAAATACCGAAAACTTGGGTTCTTGTATGATAATCTAAAACTAATATGACTACTGGTGATGGGAAAATGAAGTCAAATACTGGTGACATTAATGACTGACTGACGGAATCGAAATGGTAAAACATTTTTTCGGGCATCGCAAAATTCGTAGCAGGCGGGACAAAACAAAAGCAGTAAAGGTACACCAATGAATGATGTTTCAGATACCGAAATTTAGAGTCGACAAAAAGGCTTGTAATGACTTGTCATGAAAGAATTGTCTTGTCATGAAGAAATCTCTTTAAACATTTGACTTTGTAGAAGTATACCTTCCAGAAAATCGTTATGGGGAGGAACAATCACATTCCTTGAATGAAACATAGCTGACTTATCCCACACTAAAAATAAAAATAAAATAAAACCCAAACAAACGTTACATAGTCCCTATCAATAGCTGTGAATAGACTGGGGTATTGTCACATTAGAAGATTTAGAAGATTGAACGCTAAGTGATTTAAAGTACACGTTTACTTGGTCAATAAATGACTTCCATTTTATCCACATAAAAAATATAACATTAGTAATACTAATAATTTAAAAAAAACCATGCCCCACCACTAACCCTCCCCCAAAACACAGATAAACCCAAACGATAACTGTAACAATGCATTTTAGAATGTGTTTGTGTTTATTGCCAATGACAATGTCCTGCATTGTTTTAGATTAGTATTTACTGGTCAAATCTGTTAATTGAATACTTCTACAGAAATCTAAAAACACAAACCCAATTTTAAAATGCTGAGCAGCAATTTATTATCTTTTTTATTATCAATCTCGTAAAATCTTCAATATTTAAAGAGAAGATGCGTACTGGTAGACTAAATTTCTATGCAACTGCTCGAATATTCAAAAAGATTCTGTGACAAAAGAAATGTAAAAATACAGATGACAACAACAAAAGAAGGCACAGGCGCTTGGGGATGGACCTTTTTTTTCTTTTTTATGTGTTTGAATACTTTTTAGTAATTTTGTTTTATATTCCAAAAGAGAAAACAAGAATAGATGAACGGCATATATATATATACACTTCTGTTATTGTTATTCTATTATTTTCAAATATTTTGACCTCGTACATCACTGAAGAGACATTTTTGTCGAAATGCGCATCTTGTGCAGAAAAATTGTTACCGTTAATGTTATTGTTGAAAGATCGAATTATAAAAAGAGTGGTCCATTCCAAAAGCGCCTGTGGCACAAAGGTCAGACGAGTTTGTGTGTCATACCTTATAAATCATACAACTTCTAAATCAAATCAGATGCCTCGAAAGGATACGCATGTTCTTCCGAAAGAATGATTAAAAAGTCAAAAATAAAGTTTGATATTAGAATACGTGACTGTAAGAACTCACACATGATACTGAATTAGTCTCACTCAAAGTTCTCGACATCTTCAATGATCAGATTGATAACGGGGTGTCCGGTCGATCTGTTTGTAAACATGGATTTCAAATTGTAGCGGCATGTTTTGAATTTTCCAGTTATATCCACAGAAAGCAGAACTATTTTACATATACATATATACATACCGACCCTAGTGTTTATCATCTATAATAATTCAAATGCTATAAACCTCATTTCCATTGGAGCATATAATGAGATAATTTGACATTTATTCCGAGTTGAAATGGAATATTTTTAAAAATAAGATAAAGATAAAATGAGAGTGAATTAGACAATATCACTGCGGAAAAATTTACTTACAAATAATAAATCAAAGTGGCCGAAATAATTGATAAAAAGATTGGAAAAGAGAGGCGAAAGATACCAAAAGGGATATTCAAACTCATAAGTCGAAAACAAACTGACAATGTCATGGCAAAAAAAACCGAAAAAAGACGAAAAGACAAACAACAGTACACAAAACACAACATAGAAAACTAAAGACTGAAAACGGTTAAAAGATTGGAAAAGAGAGGCGAAAGATACCAAAAGGGATATTCAAACTCATAAGTCGAAAACTAACTGACAATGCCATGGCAAAAACAAAACCGAAAAGACAAACAACAGTATACAAAACACAACATAGAAAAGTAAAGATTAGAGCAAGACAAACCCTACAAAAACCGGGGGTGATCTCAGGTGTTCCGGAATGGTGAGCATATTCTGATCCACATGTGGCACCCGTCGTGTTGCTCATGTAGGTATAAACCCGGTGATGAGTCTAATTCGAAGAGTTGTGTGCATACTTTCAAACACTATTTTTGTTTTCCATTGAGGTATGTTGGTAAAACAAAACACATCATGTTTAGCTCGGTTTCATATAGTGACTTTACTACAAGAAAGTTAAGGATTTTTGTCAGGAGATGAAAAAGCTAAATGTGTGACAATGCCAGCATTTCACTAAATTCGATAAATTTCTTTAAAATTTATCAAAACATGATCAAAGTCGTATGGATTTAGTTGATTTTGTTCCTTAACAGAATAAAACTTCGCACAACCCAAGGTCCCAATAATGAAAGAGGGACGAAAGATACCAGAGGGAAAGTCAAACTCATAGATCGAAAACAAACTGACAACGCCATGGCCAAAAATAAAAAGACAGACAAATAATAGTACAGATGACACAACATAGAAAACTAAAGACTAAGCAACACGAACCGCACCAAAAACTTAGGGTGATCTCAGGTGCTCCGGAAGGGTAGCAGATCCTGCTCCACATGCGGCACCCGTCGTGTTGCTTATGTTATTACAAATCCGGTAAATAGTCTAATTCGGTAGGTCACATTCGTGAAAAGGGAAGGGTATTGTAGTTACGACATAAGGAACATATCCGATATCATCTGTGAAACGGTTATTCCATAACGGTCAACCAACTCGTGATGGCATCCGTAAAATTTACGAAGGGATGATGCATTCCCATTTTTACTTCAGGTTGACATAAATCATTTTTTTCAGGATCATTGGCTTCCTAAGTTTCCAATATAGGACTAATACATGACCATTGGCCTCAGCTCCAGTTTATGAGATTTTAGATGAATTCAAAATTAATTAAATTCAATAATTGCCACATGATTATGATTATTTTAAACTAAAACATGTCAATTTACCTGTTATTTAATTAATGATCTTCCATAAGAGGATTGAACTTGTCATATCGTTTTGGTTTTGAATTGAGATTAATGTACTACTGTATTTTATAGCATTTATTGTGTAACTTTAATACTTACTTGCTGCACCTCTTCACCTTCTTCTTTCTTTCCAGATATCGATGTTAATGAGAAGGACAACTTTATTAAGTAATAACACACACTCTTTTTAAACGTGATTTCGTGGAAAATAATCTCTTTTTAAAAAGGAAAATAACTTAACATGAGAGTATTGAGAAACCACAAAAATATCATTTGCGTAACGCAGTGGGTAACTATATATTCCGGGTATTGCATTTCTTTAAATTGCTTTTATTTTTCTGAATTTCTAAGCACAGGCCCTGTTCTATATCATTTAGAAGACGGTGTCCTTATTTGGTTTTATCGACATCGATTTTTTAGTTTTCAGTACTTGAATGAAAATTAATTTCAATGAAAAAAAAACATGGTAAGAGGATAAAAGTACAACGATTAAGACTCCTCTTAATGAACATCAACAAACGAAAAATGACCACACAAGTCATTAAAAAAGAAACTCTCCTACTTTGGCAGTAGTTATCTCTTTATATAAAAGTTTCATGAAACGAAAACAAGCTAAAAAATGACTCAGCTCTCGATGACAAGAACTTATCTTTTATTTCAGACCCAACTGATTTGTTAATAGTGAACAAAAAGGTAAAACATGCTACACAGAGGAATAAGTGATCAGTATGCTACAGTTTCTTATTAACAACATATTTGTTGAATTTGGAGGTAGACTTTTTCAACAAATTGTCGGCATTTCTATGGGAACGAACTGTGCACCTCTCCTTGCCGACCTCTTCTTATTTTTCATATGAGTCGGAGTTCCTTTCGACACTTGTCAGAAACAAGAAGATAAAAAAAAGCCAGATCATTTAATTTCACATTCAGATATTTTGATGATGTTCTTTCAATTAACAATCCAAACTTTTCTGATTGGGTTCCATTAATATATCCTCCAGAACTATAAATTAAAGAAACAACCGACACGGCTTCCTCCGCCTCATTTTTAGACATATACCTCGAATTTGACATAAGCAGTCATCTCAGTACCAGAAATCTATGACAAACGAGACGATTTTAATTTTAAATTATCAATTTCCCCCACCTTAGTAGCAATATACCAACTTCACCTGCATATGGGATATACATTTCCCAACTCATTCGGTAATCAAGAGCTTGCAGCTGCTACTCAGACTTTATAAAACTTCACCAGTGTCTGAGCAGAAAGTTGATGAAACAGGGTTATGTCAAAGAACGTATCGTCCTTTTTCTAAAAAGTTCTTTTTTTTGTCTTTGTAAATTATTAACCTTTACTGTTTAGTCCATTTTTGGTAATATCATTTTGGCGTTGCTCGGTACTAGTACATCCCGCCATTATGTTATTGTGCTATGGTGATTTTTTGTATTCTTGTCTTTCATTTTTGCTTATGTGCTTTGTCTATATGCCATTTTGTTTTTCTTTGGAGACATATTTGTTTGCTTTTATAGTGATTAAGGTTATAACACAATGTTGACTGCTGTACCCCTATTTTTGACATTTTTACCTATTATGTCTGTTTGTTTTGTTCACACATTGTTGTCAATATAATGGAATTTTATGCGACTGGCATACAAGTGAGAGGTTTAGCTAGCTATAAAACCAGGTTTAATCCACTATTTTCTACATAAGAAAATGTCTGTATCATGTCAAGAATATGACAGTTGTTTTCCATTCGTTTGATGTGTTTGAGCTTTTGATTTTGCCATTTGATAAGGGACTTTCCGTTTTGAATTTTCCTTGGAGTTCGGTATTTTTGGTTATTTTACTTTTTATACCCCCGCTTTCAAAAAGTGGGGGTATACTGTTTTACCTCTGTCTGTTCGTTCATCCATCCGTCCGTCCACCCATCCATCCATCCATCCATCCATCTATCCGTCCATCTGTCCCATGAAAATTTTTCGTCACATCTTTCTCAGGAACTACAATACAAGGATTTCTGAAATTTGGTTTCAGGGTTTATATAAGTCAGCTATACCGTGTGATGCGTTTTCAGATTGATCACTCAACAACTTCCTGTTTACCGTCAAGTATTTGGGCTGGGGGTATCATCAGTGAGCAGTAGCTCACAGTTTTACTTGTTACTCCAAAAGATAACAAGCATACAGAATGGAAAAGATTGTATACGCCTGCAGCAATTTGTCGATTTAAAATCACACATATAAATATATATTTATTGCGTTCTGTGGGTAACAGTAACGTAGAATAGTGTAGACAAAAAGGTTTTTACCAAGACAATTCTAGTTCTATGCAGGGAACATAAAGGAAACAGTCGAGATGATACAGTAAACATACCATTGAATCGATTCAGTTTTTTTTTCTAATTTTTTAACAAAGCTCCAACCGATTCTACTAACTCGAATTTTTAGTTCCACGCTCTACTCCTGCCTTTTCACTGTTGCTCCGCACTACAGTCCACTTAGTTATTCATTGGAGCTTTCGTGTTGATTGAATGTGCTCAGTTTGTTCGTTTGAGTTTTGGAGAATAAAAAAAAACAGTTAGACAGTATTGAGAGCAATATTAGAGTATTAAGAGTTCACAGCTTAAACAGCTTGGGAAATTTTAGAGATTTCCTAATTGAATGTAACCAAGCAAATTATAAAATAAGTAATTAATAAGAATTTATTTATTTGCATGCATCTGTAATATCTATTGAACTGTGTGTTATACATCTGTATGTTACAATTTATTTGAAGGGGAATCAGTGGCGGATCCAGAACTTTGTATAAGGGGGGGGGGGGGGGCACTGACTGACCTAAGGGGGGGGGGGGGCACTCCAGTCATGCTTCAGTGATTCCCTCTATAATCAACCAAATTTTTCCCACAAATGGAGGGGGGGGGGGGGGCGGGCTCCCCAGGATCCGCCTATGAGTATAATGAGTCTTAACATATAAACTGGATCAGACAATTGAAAGGTAAATATGCAAGCAATGCCAAATGGCATCTGTCAGACGGATATAAAGCCACATTCGAGCAACAAATCTAATCCTGAAAACGTAAAATGATCACTGAAGTTTTAAAATTAGGCTAAAACGATATAAAATATGCCAGACAGACATGAACTTGTTTCAAGACATTTCAGTTACTGGTCAACAGATCCTGTTATTCAAATTAAAATTACCACTGAATGAAGCTTGAAAATATGTGTTTAAGTCCATGTGTAACCATATACTCCTTCAAAACAATATAGTTATAAATTTCCGTCCGTCTCTTATATACAAATATAATCATGAGAGCATAATAATGACTCGAGGGCAGATTCATGATCCAACATATCGAAAATTGGCTACGAATGGCGAATATTATTTAACAGCCCTTCAAAACTAGAAAATCTGGATTCTTGTCCTATTATCTAAAACTAATATGACTACTGAGATGGGAAAATGAAGTCAAGGTCGAGTGACAATGACTGACGCCATCGGAATAGTAAACCCAGGCGACAACAACAGCAGTGAAGGTACAATGATAAATGATGTTTCAGATACCGACATTTAAGAGTCGACAAAAGGCTTGTAATGACATGTCCTGAAAGAATTGTCTTGTCATGAAAAAATCTCTTTAAACATGTGACTTCGTTGAAGTTTGCCCTACAGAAAATTGCTATGAGAAGGAACAATGACATTCCTGGAATGAAACAAAGCTGATTTATCCATTATTAAAAAGAAAAACGAAATAAAACCCAAACAAACCTGACACAGTCCTTATAAATAGCTAAGGCATTGACATCTCAGAAGATTGATCTCATAGTGATTGAAAGCACACGTTTTGTGTGTGTTGCTTATGACTATGTTCTGCATGGTTTTAGTTCAGTACTTTCTGTCAAATATGATTTTCTTTTTTATTCAATCTCGTAATATCTTCAATATTTCAAGAGAAAAAGCGTACCGGTAGACTTAATTTGTATGTGACTGCTTGAAAATGCAAAAAGATTCTTTGACAAAAATATTGTAAAAATACAGATGACAATCTTAATGCATCGGCGTTTGGGGATAGACTACATTTTTTATTTTTTTCTGTGTTTGAAAAGCTTTTAGTAAACTTTCTGTGATATTTCAAAAGAGAAAATAAGAAAAAGTTAAATGGCGTGTACATGTATAAAATCTGTAATTGAAAGATTGCATTATAAGAACAAACACAAATTAAGGGAAAAAAAAGAAAATGTACACAAAAAAACCCATCGAAATAAAGAAAGAAGAGGGATCCATTCAAAAAACGCGTGTGGGACAAAGGCCAGAGGAGTTTGTGTCTCATACTTAAATAGATAAGACAAATGCTAAATAAAATTAGATGCTTCGGAAGGATAATCATGTCCTGTCCCATAAATGATAGAAAAATGTCAAAGGTAGTGTCTGATTTTAGAAAACAGGACTGTTAGAATCCATACAAGGTACTGAGTTGGTCACACCCACCGTTTTCTACATCTATGGTGACATTGATAACGTGGTGTCCTGACGATCTGTTTGTGAACATGAATTTCAGATTGCAGCGGCATGTTCTGAATTTTCTTTTTTTCAGAGAATACAGAACTATTTATAAATACAAATATTCAAACAAACATTAATACTTATCATCTATGATAACTCAAAATGCTATAAACCTCATTTCCATTGAAGCATATAATAAGATAATTTAAAACCATTGAAATAGAACAATTAATTTAATTCTACAAAAATAAGAAAAACTAAGAACAAATGAGAAAGAATTCGACAATATCACTGCGGAAAAGTTAAGTTACCAATAATAGATCAAAGTGACCGAAATCACTGAAGAAATATTGAAAGAGTTTGTGTTCATAATTTCAAACACTATTTTAGTTTTCCATTGAGGTTTGGTAGTGAACAAAAAGCCCATCATGTTTAGCACTATATCATATAGTGACATTACCGCCATTGTTTAGAAAGGTAAGCATGTTTTTCAGAAGTTGAAATGACCTAAAATGTGTGACAATCACAGCAGTTCACTAAATTCGAAAAAATCCTTTAAAATTTATCGAAGCATGTTCACAGTCGGATGGTTTTAGTTTACTTTTGTTTTTGAATAGAATAAGTAAATACGATTCCTCTTAAAACACGGGATTGCATTTATCCATG